GGAATGGGGGAGTCGGGGACCCAGAACACCGGGAATGGGGGAGTCAGGGACACAGGGACACCGGGAATGGGGGAGTCAGGGACACAGGACACCGGGACCAGTAGTGCCATGGGACCACCAGGATTCTGGGATCACCAGGATTCTGGGATCATCAGGACTATGGGACCATCAGGACTATGGGACCACCAGTGCCATGGGACCATCAGTGCCATGGGACCACCAGGACTATGGGACCATCAGGACTGTGGGACCACCAGGACTGTGGGACCACCAAGACCCATCACCCCCTCAAAGGGATCTAAGGCAGGGTCAGCATCCCGGGACCACCAAAAGCCCAGGAACACGGGACTCAGGCACCCATCAGCACCCCAGGACCACCAAGACTGTGGGACCACCAGGACCATGGGACCACCAGGACCCATCACCCCCTGAAAGGGATCTCGGCAGGGTCAGCACCCCAGAACCACCAGGAGCCCAGAACCACCACCAGAATAACGGGGCCACCAGTGCCATGGGATGTGGCATAAACCTGCATTATATGGGAAAACCGTTGTTTGAACACGTCTTAAAATGGCCTTTGGTGGTCTCTCTGCAAACACGTGTTTCTTCTTCCCCAAACCCCCCCAGTTATCTCAGTGTTCTCTCAGGAACGTCCTGGGAAGGGGTCCTGAGGTGTTTCACTGGTCCCATTGGCTGCTGACCCTTTACCTGCTGGGTTTTTCTGCGACCCCGAACTCGGGACTGGTTCCCCTCTGACCCTCCCAAGAGCTTTAGAACCCCCTTCCCAACAATAACTTGCCTCCTGTGGACGCCGGTGCGCTGTCTCCGTGCCTGCCATGGAACCACGTTGGGTGCTGGGGGGAGGGGAGGGCACCTCTCCCCTCCAGGCTCGGGGCCAGAAGCCCCCGAGGAAACCCCCGGAGTTCCCCTTCCCCATCCCTCCAGCCGTCGGAAGGGTTCTTCGGATGGAGATGGAACTAGAACTGGGCCGGCCCCACGCCGGGGGTGGGGAAAGGGAGCCACAATGGGACTACCGGGACTGTGGGACCACCAAAACCCCTCAGCCCCCCAAAGGGACCCGGGCAGGGGCAGCGCCCCGGGACCACCAGAATCATGGGACCACCAAGAGCCGGGCACCCAGCAGCACCCAGCACCCCCCAGGGGGATCCCCAAAAGGCATCTGGGCAGCACCAGCACCCCAAAGGGGACCCGGCGCCGCTGGGACCCCGAATGAGACCCGAGAGCCCCTGACCCCTCCACGGGGAATGCGGGCACCCCAAAAGGAACCCAAGAACCGCCCCCCAGCACCCCAAAAGGAACCTGGGACCCCTCAGCATCCCAAGAGGAACCTGGGCACCCCTCGGCACCCCAAAAACCCTAAAGCCCCTAAAAACACCCCGTCACCCCTAAATGGGCCTCCACCAACCCTGGCACCCCCCAGGGCACCCCCGATCCCAGGGGGGTCCCAGACACCCACCACAGCCTTTATGAACCCGTTGCCCCAAAAACACCACAACACTGCCCCTCCCCAAGTAAAAACGGACCCTGGAACGTGGGGACCGCTATCCCCACACAGGGGACCCCAAACCCGGACCCCCTCGCCATAAAGGGCCCGGGGACCCCCCCGTCCCCGAACACGGGACCCCAAACCGCGGCCCCCTCCTCCCCCATCACCCTCCGGAGATCCCCGACCCTCCCTTGTCCCCCCTCAGCCGCTCCCCCTCCCCTGTCACCCCCCTCTCCCTCACGAACCCCCCGGCGCCGCCATCTTGGCGCGCACAACGAGCGGGCGGCGCCGGCGCGGCTCCCGCCCAGCGGGGGCGGCCCGGGGGGCCCGCGCCGGTCGCGGGGGGTGCCGGGGGGCGGCGGGGGCTCGCCGGGGGGACGCGATGGGCGGCGGGGGCGGCGATGGCGGCGGATGAGGGACCGGCCCGGCCCCGACTCACCCCGAGCGCTGCAACCGCCGCTGCCGACCGGGCGGGGCCTGCCGTCACTTCCGGCGCGGCCTCCCCGCCCCCCGGGGCTGCCCGTCAGAGCGCCTGAACCCGCCCCGGTACCGGCACCGGCCCCCCCCGCGCCGCCGCTCCGCCCGCGCTGTCCCCGCGCCCCCAGCGCGGCCCCACCGCCCCCCGCGCCCCCTCGGCCCCCCAAATCCTCCCTCAGTGCCGCACCTCCGCTCGGGCACCGCGCGGGACGCCCCCAGCGCGGGGGCCTCGGGCTCCCGCCTTCGCAAGTCCCGCCCCCACCGCGCGCGTCGCTATGGCGACGGTTTTCCCGCCGCCTTGGCCACGCCCACAGCGGTGACGCGCCGCCGCGCCCTGCGAATCGGAGCGTTTATTCTAATCAGGGCCCGCCCGCCAGGCTGATGGTGGCCAATGAAACGCTCTCGGTCGAGAGGCTCCGCCCCTTCTCGTAGATGACGTACAGCAGGGGGCTGGGGTCTTCCTCGCCGGGGGGCGGGGCCGCCAGGGCGGAGTAGCCGCTCGGCCCCTCCCACAGGCGCAGGCCACGCCCCCACCACGTGGCCCCGCCGTCGAAGCTCCAGCGCAGGGTCAGGTTCACCCCTGGGGGGGGAGGGGGGTCAGGGACACGCCCACCCCGTGCAGGACACGCCCATATAGCAGAGGCCACACCCCCGCACCGACCGCATTTTATACTCTGTTCACACCCCCTGGTGTAAGCCACGCCCCCTTCTTTAAACCACGCCCCCTCTCTTAAAGCGTTGTCCCCTGGCCCCCAAATCGGGACATTGGGGACCCCCCCCCAGGCCTGGGGACACTCCGGGCACCTCGATGTCCCCAGAGCCCCCCCAGGACCCCCTGGGATCCTCCCGGACACCAAAGCCCCCCCATGTCCCCCCAGATCCTCCCCCACATCCCCCCTCATATCTTCCTCCATGTCCCCCCATGTCCCCCCATATCTCCCATGTCCCCCCTCATATCTTCCCCTGTGTCCCCCCCATATCCCCCTCATGTCCCCCCCCCCATATCTTCCCCCATGTGCCCCTAAATTCCCCCGTGTCCCCCCTCATATCTTCCCCTGTGTCCCCCCCCGTACCCCTTCATATCCCCCTCATGTCCCCCCCCATATCTTCCCCCATGTCCCCCTAAATCCCCCCATATCCCCCCCACACCCCCCCCCATATTCCCCCCCGCGTCCCCCCCCTCACTTTCTCTCTCGTGGGCGGGGTTGCTGAAGAACACGACCCCCCCGCTGACCAGGACCCCCGCGGCCACGGCGGGGTCTGGCAGGGCGGGGTCGAAGGTGACGGCGGCGGGGGGCAGCGTGGCCCCCCCGTCCCAGCTGCGGGCCAGCATGCGGCAGCGGCAGCGGAACGAGTCCTGGTTGCGGATGCTCACGCCCAGGGACCCGTCCGGCAGCTCGTAGGGCTTGGGGAGGGGGGGGCGGAGGGTCACAGCCACCCCCCCGGGCGGTGAAACCCCCCCCGGGACCACCCGGCTCACCCCCGAGAGCTGAGCACAACGAGGACCCCCCCTCCCGGGCAGATGGGACCACCCAAATGGGAGGGTCCCCCCATCCCTGGGCTCCTGGGTCCCCCAAATATGAGGGTCCCCCCATCCCTGGGCTCCTGGGTCCCCCAAATATGAGGGTCCCCCCATCCCTGGAATCCTGGGCCCCCCCAAATATGAGGGTCCCCCCATCCCTGGAATCCTGGGCCCCCCCAAATATGAGGGTCCCTCCATCCCTGGACTCCTGGGGTCCCCCAAATATGAGGGTCCCTCCATCCCTGGACTCCTGGAGACCCCAAATATGAGGGTCCCCCCATCCCTGGGCTCCTGGGTCCCCCAAATATGAGGGTCCCCCCATCCCTGGATTCCCGGGGCCCCCAAGAGACCCCCATTGCCCCCAAGCCCAACAATTCCCAGAGTCCCCCCCTCCCTGGATTCCCGGGGCCCCCAGGAGTCCTGCAGGAGACCCCCGGGAGCCCCCCCCAATTCCCAGAGTGCCCCTATCCATGGATTCCTGGGTCCCCCAGGAGTCACCCATTGCCCCCAACCCCCCCAATTCCCAGACTCCCCCCATCCCCAGGACCCCCCTCAGATCCCCCCCCTTCTCCCAAACCCCCATTGCCAGACTCCCCCACCCCCGGGACCGCCCCCCCCACCATCGCAAGCCCCTCCCCTGACCTGGCACTCGTCGGTGGTGAAGTCTCGGGGGTGCCGGGGGGCCCCGAAGGGGATGGCGGGCAGGACCCCCCCCATGCGCCACGAGACCCCCCCCTCGTCGCTGAGCAGCATCGAGACCCCGTCCCGCTCCAGCGTGCAGTGCCCGCAGAACACCAGCCGGCCCCCGAACGGTGGTCTCTGCTTCTGGGGGGGGCACAGGGACACGAACACGGGGGGGTGAGACCCCCCGGACCCCCCCCGACACCCCCAGTTGCCCTCCCCAGTTCCCCCCCACTCATACCTGGATGCCGCTGCCGGGCCCGGGGGCGAAAACCTCCCCCCCCACGACCCCCGAGAGGTTCTGGGGGGGCCCCCAGGAGCAGCCCACCTCGCGGCTGCGCAGCATGAGGGTGGTGGGGGGCCCGCAGGGCGGGGGGGGGTGGGCGCAGCGGGCGAAGAGCAGCAGCACTTCGGGGCCCACGCTCAGCAGGGCCCCCAAATGCAGCCCGTCGCCCCCAGGCCGTCGTCGGCCGCCACCTCCGTGGGGCCCCACGTGGCTCCTGGGGAGGGGGGGACACACGGGCAGAGGACCCCCCTCACCCAACCAGGGACCCCCCCCCACAACCCATAGACCCCCGGGAGACACAGAAACCCCCCCAAATCCCCCCCCCCCCAATCTCCCACAGAGACCCCTCAGCTCGGCCCAAAACCCGCCCACAACACACCAACCCCCCCCAGAGACCACTCAGGGAACCCCAGGACCCCCCCCCAGCCCCCACGAGGATCCCCCCAGGACCCCCATAGACCTCCCCAAAAATCTCCCCCAGAGACCGCTCAGGGACACCCCCAGCCCCCCCCCTCAGACCGCCTCAAAAACCTCCCAGACCCCTCAATCACTCTTCAGCCCCCTCCCCCCAAGACCCCCCCATGGCCCCCCCACCTCCATCAGAGGAGCGGTGGCAGGCGATGACTTTGGCCCCCCCAGACCCCCCCTAACCCCTCAGGGACCCCCAGGACCCCCCCAGAACCCCCCCAGGACCCCCCCAGGACTCCCCAGGGACCCCCAGGCCCCCCCCAGGCCCCCCCACCTCCGTCGGGGGAGCGGCGGCAGGCGATGACTTTGGCCCCCACGTCCCCCGCCGACTGTTTCCTGCCCTCGGCGCAGGCCAGCAGGGCCCCCCCGGGGGTGGCGACCACCAGGGGCACGCGGAAGGTGTGGACCCCCCCGCGCCCCTCCCCGCTCACCCACAGCACCTGCTCCCGCACCACCCGCGGCCGCACCTGGGGGGGGATGAGGGGGTTACGGGGGGCTTTGGGGGGTCCCGGGGTGATGGGGGGTCGGGGTGGGGGGGCAGTGACAGGGTGGAAGAGAGGGGTAATAATGGGGGGAGCTTTGGGGGGGTTATGGGGCTGGGGGGGGCGTTGGGGGGGGTTATGGGGGTGGGGGGGGGTCCTTGGGGGTGTTTATGTTGCTGAGGATACCTAGAGTGCAATAATGGGGAGGCCCTTTGGGGGGTTATGGGGCTGGGGGGGCGTTGGGGGGGTTATGGGGGTGGGGGGTCCTTAGGGGGGGTTATGGGGGTGGGGGGGGTCCTTGAGGGGGTTATGGGGCTGGGGGGGAACACTGGGGGTCACGGGGGGACATTAGGGGGGTCTATGGGGGGGGTCACCACCGAAAGCCCTGCGGGGTCCCCGAGAGGGGCTTTTATGCCCCGGGGGGGGGTCCCAGTGCCAGGGGAGTCAAGGTGGGGTCAGTGGGGGGGTCCCCTGTCCCCTCCCACCGGTACCGTGTCGGGGGTCAGGGTGGGGCCAGGGCGGGGTCAGTGGGTGCCCCCATTTCTCCCCCCCCCGGTACCGTGTCGGGGGTCGGGTGTGGGGTCAGAGAGGGGTCAGCGGGTGCCCCCCGTGTCCCCCCCCCCCGGTACCGTGTCGGGGGTCGGCTGCCAGCGCCCCGCGGCCCCCACCGCGAGCAGCAGCGGCGGCAGCAGCGCCCGGAGCATCGCGGCCCCTTTAAGAGAACCCGGAAGTGCCACCGGCAAACCCTTGTCGTGGGGCACGTGACCGCCGCGAGGGCGGGGCCCGACCTTAAAACGGCAACGGGGCCCGGTGGTTTTCAGTCCTAAAGCGGCAACGCCGCGCGTGTGGGGTCCGCAAAAATAAATCCGTTTTAATGATTTATTAATAAATAGTAAATAATAAGTTAAACATTTAAATAAAACAAAAATAAATTTAAAATAAATAAATTAATCTAATAATTTAACTACTTATTTTATAATTCTTTGCTAGTATTTTTTAGTCCAATTATTATTATTATTTATTTTTATTATTTAATATTTTAATATAAGTTTAAAAATTAACAAAACCATTTATTGTTCCAATTGGTTTTGTTGCATTTTTGTCAGGGGGCGGAGCCTGGTCTTAAAAGGGCGACACCACGTGTAGGGTCCACACATAAACTCCATCAGTAAAAATAAATATATTTTACTGTTTTTATCACTTTTATTGCTTTATTGCACTTTCGTTGCTCCCACCCAAACCGGGGAGACCCCCCCCGCCCGCGGGGGGGCGGGGCTAAGGCAGGGCCACACCCACAACGGTGCTGTTTGAAGGGGCGGGGGCTGTTGTGGCCCCACCCCCCCTCATGGGGGGATGGGCGTGGCTGAACGAGGGTCACGCCCCTTTGGTCGCCCCGGTGCATCCTGGGAAGAGTCCAGTCAGGGCTCGGCCAATCGCAGGAGGGGACCCGCGGGGGTGGGGACACTGCGGGCGGGCATGGGGGTGTTACAGGGGGGTCAGGGGTCACGAGGGTCACAGGGGGGTCAGGGGTCACCCAGGGGGCAGGGGGTCTCTCAGGGGTCCCTGAGGTGTCCCCAAGGAGTCCCCCCCGGGTCAGGGGTCACAGGGGGGTCAGGGGTCACAGGGGGGTCAGGGGGTCCCTGAGGTGTCCCCAAGGAGTCCCCCCCGGGTCAGGGG